TCATGCATCATAAAACCATGATAAAGATAACTTTATCTTTGCATGATTCATTAAGGTGCCCGAGTGGTTTCTTGCTCTTGTGGCTGGGATGAGGGCAGGCTGCCGCCTGCTGCTTCGGTGCTAGGACTAGGCCGGTTGTCTATTAGATAACAAGGGGCTTGCTTGCACCTTACCAGATCTTGCACTATAAACCTATGGAATGCCATATTGAAGCCGTATATACGTAGTATGAGGGCTGTTACTTTTGACTGCCGCCTAAGTACCCAAATGCTCAACACATCTTGGGAGCCTTCTACATATGTAGAGTTGGGTGGCTCGCAAGAATTTAGGCGGCTACCTTGTCAGGTAGGCTACTGTCACCTGCTTGCTTTGAGGGACGTGGAATAGATGCCGCTTACTTTTGCTCGATTTTGCTGAGCATCTAGCGTAATCCAGCCATTAATTGGTTTTACTCACGTTTGCGGGCTTGCTGCATTTGTTGGGAGTGCCGAGTGTTTTAACATGGCTGGCTGCCGCCTGTTTTTAACGTGGCTGGCTGCCGCTGGCTGCTATGTGGCTGGGCGTAGGGCGGCTGCCACGAGGGCATATGCTAAAGGCTACTGCCGCCTACTGTCTTGAGGGGCATGCCGCCTGCTCCTTCATCAATGCAAAGCATTCGGCCATCCAAATGTCGTAACGCAAACAGCGAGAAGTGTGCTGCTTCAAATACATACAAGGGGCAGCCATCAACAATACCAGTCGGTTTTTAGCCTTTTAGTCAAATGCCTTGTGATGGCTTGTTGCCGAATGTATCTCCAAATGCGTTGAGATGGCCGGCTGACTTGCTTATTATGCTTTATTTAACAAAATTCGAAGAGTGCTCTGTTTTCATGGAGTTGAAAATTTATTGCCTCAAACTCGGCATTTGGTTGCCTATTTTTGAAATGCTTGTGCCGGCTTCGTGGCTGGTACTAGGCCGGCTGTCATCTGGCCGCCTGCTTCCTTGGGCGAGACGCCAATGCCCAGCTTTCACAATAAGAGACTAGCACATGAACAAGTTAAAGCATTCACTCTCATGGCCAATTATATTACAACGAGCCAAGCGCTACTCCTCTCGGCAGGCCGAGAGATTTTTATATGTGCGAGTATTTTGGCTGTTTGCTTTTGGAAGAACAAGCTGGAACCAAACTCATTCGTATCAAGTATACTTGGCATTATATTTTGAGCAAAAACCTTGCGACTGTACCTTGATAAAACATCATATAGAGCCGGCTGTTTATGCGAGAATGAGGGCTGCTCTTATGGTTGCCGCCTAAAAGCTCAAAGGCTCGACGTTGGCATGCCACTACTGCACTCACAGTCGGGCCTTTATCGAAGGAAAAACAGCAGGCTTCCTAGACATGTAGAACAACCGACCGAGGAAGCTGTTCGTGACAAGCATCATGGGAGCCGGCTATGTATATAGCGATGTGGGCTGGTAGTTATGACACTACTTATGCCACTTGATAATATCAAATGCTAAGATTAACTTTGTAGTAGGTTGCCACCTAAGGCTCTTAGGTGGAGAAGCTTGACCGTCTGACTCTTTGCATTCGGCCGTATGACGCCTGCAGTAGTTGGCCGCCTGGCCGGATGCTCGGTGGCTGGTATATTGCCGGTTGTACCCAGTAGTTTCATGCGAGGCGCATGTAACTTCAACTGGGAGTTGTTTGATCTGGCCGACTGTTCCTTTGGTGGAGCAGTCGCCTTTTTATTGACAAGCTCTTGGATCTTTCCCTTGAAAGTACTCATGAGAGTCATGATTTCTGTCCTAGTAATAGGAGCAGATCCTTCGGCCGCCTGCTGAGTCTCAGGCGGTGGGCCGGCTGGTTTACTAGATTCAGCCAGGCAGTCTCCCCGTTCCTTCCTTTCGATGGGACGGGTGCGTCGAGCTCTGAGGGACCCGTCAGGGGCCGTGTGAGTCTCGACTTCATATTCTTCGTCGGTACCCTGGTCTGACTGGACCAGGGGGTCGTCCATGGGACGCTTCTCACTTAGAATCGGTACAGACTGTGATACCATCTCGAAAGTACTCTCCCCACAGGTGGCCTGGCCGACTGTTCCTTTGCAGGAACAAGCGCCCTTTGGTTGATCAAGTCTTGGATCTCCCCCTTGAAACTACTCATGAGGGTCATGAGTTCATTCCTGGTGATAGGGGCAGATCCCTCGGCCGCCTGCTGAGTCTCAGGCGGTGGGCCGGCTGGCCGACTGGGACCAGCCTCTCGTTCCCTCCTTTCGGTAGGACGGGTGCGCCGGGCCCTTAGGGTCCCGTCTGAAGCTGTGTGAGCTTCAACTTTAAATTCTTCCTCAGTATCATGGTCCGACTGAACTTGAGGGTCGTCTAGGGGACGCCTCTCTTCAGGAGTTGGTACAGACGTGGATGCCATCTCAGAAGTACTCTCCCCACAGACGGCGCCAAAATGTTTCGGGGTTTTCTGGTGTCCTGCGGGAGAGTTACAACACCGAGACTGGAACCGGACGCCTGTACCTGCAAAACAACGAAGACTCCTTGTGGTGGGAGCTCCGCCTCCAACGGTCAAGTCAGTACTTGTTTGAGGAGTAATAAGTGCGGAAATTAAAGGGGGGAGATCTGGTTCCTCTAGGGGAGGAGTGATCAATGTGTTTAGACTTCTCTAGGTGAGAGTCATTCTTCTGAATATGGAGGCTAATGACATGTTTATATAGCCTCGAAGTTTGTGCCCAATACTAGGTTTTCTGGGAAAAACCTAAGACTGATTGGGCTTGCCTCGGGAATTGGGCCTGCGATGGCCGTTTTCCAGGTTGGCGGATAATGGGCCACATGATGTGACCTGATTAGTCCATGTTGGACCTATTAGGGTGACAAGTGGCGGACGCTGATTGGCCCACGTGGTGGACACGTGGCAGGTCCGGATTGGTCCATTTGTCATGGGTAATTTTACCCTAAACACTATATATCTTATTAAAGTCATACGACATCTATAATTGACAATCAACGATAATGAAAACATATCTAACAAAATCAAACAGGAATTAATCAGGAAAGGGATAAGAATTCAAATACATAAATATAACAATTCGACACATTCTCGATTCGTTGTCTCATACCACTTTTTGAGTAGATCCGATCCGTTGCTGCTTCATAATTTTGTGAAAAAGAAAATTCTTGTGCTGATTTTGTAACTCGAATCTGAGCAATAATAAATCGTAGCCTCGCACAACTGGAGACCAAATTAAACGTAAATAACACCTTGTCTTTCGAAGGAGTTCGAAAAACGTCTTGCGAAGGAGATAAACTCTTTCTTTCGAGAAAGACATAATTATAACATAAAAAAAAATAAAAAAATAAAACCCTTAGAAGGAAACAAAGATTAGGGCTTTCCACCTATGAAAAGCCATAGAAGCCCCTTCGAATTCCTCTCTTCATCCCTTTATTTTTGCCCCATTGCTATTTTTGGGGTCAAATTTTAAAAACTTTGATCATAAATTACCGTTAATGTATAAAAGATAATTTAGTCATGAGTGGTCTTATTATATTCATCTCATTGTATATTTTATTATTATCACGTTTTTATAATATTTACATATATGGAAATAAAGATATAGATGTTTTAATACGCGTTTTGGAGACTGTGTCCAGTCAAATGGGACAAAAAAATAGGGACAGAGAGAGTAACAATGAAGGCTAGGATTTAGGAGAGAGAAGAGGCTAGGGTTTTTTTTTTTTTTTAAGCAATTGCACTTCTCTCATATTCTCATTATTAGAATACCCTAAATTTTAGGCTAATTATATTAGATAAAATAATGTAAATTTAGGTGGAGATATAACAATTTTTAATTAAGAAGATATTTAAATAATTAAGGTGCTTCCCTAAATAATACAAACAAAAAAAAAAAAAAAAATAGGGGCAGCATATTGTCGGCGCAGCAGCATCAAGTATAGTAATTACTGGGAGAGTGATAATGCGAAATTACCGGAACTCAGATTTATTCCACACACTTCCACTTCATTTTGATTGACTTTCTGCCCCACCATTCTAACAAACTCTTCCCTCTTTTTTTCTTTCAATTTCAATTACTGATAACATAGGCAAGGTTAAAAATGCTACGATCCGAGTACTCGATAATGACAGTTATTTAGTGCAACACTTTAAAATTATACCTTTTTAAAATCAAATAAGATACTGTAGCATTTTATTTGATTCAGTATGTTATGTGTTAGTAGTTAAATTGATAAATTTTGTAGATGTTGCATGATTTTCTTCATAAAAAAAAACTATATTTATCAACAAAATTATTTACTAAAATTAACAATTTTTTGATAAAACTAAATATCAAAATTAAAAGTACACCATAAACCTAACTACAGTATCTGAACAACATGTTGTGTATAATGATAAATAAAATTCCAAATTTTGAAGCCCTTATTTTCATACGCCTTTTGCAATCGCTCATTTTACACATACTTGAAAGTGGAGACCATCTGATTACTACTCCCTTTGTTTTGTTTGATTATAATCGCGATAATTTGACTTTTACACTATTCATTTGCTCACTTTAACCATACAATTTATTGATATATAAAAAACATATGAAGGCATGTAAAATATTTTTGACTTAGTCTTTAACTATTTATGTACTCCAACATTTTTATTATATTATTAATTAATTATAAATATTTTTTATCAAAGTTAAACATTGGCATGTGTGTCAGTTAAAGTGTTACGATTATTATGAAATAGAGGGAGTACTTCAAAGTAGTATTTAATAAACCAAAAAAAAAAACTTTAGCTTGTTTGACATCGTTTTTTGTTTTCACTTTTGATTTTCTGAAAATAAAAAACCAAAAACTAGAAACAAATAAAAGATGTTTCCACTTTTCTATTGTCAAAATTTCAAAATTATCATGATTTTAATAAATTATGATCAATTTTTTATTCATTATATGATATACCATATGATTTAGAAAACCAAAAAACAGAAAACATTATACCAAATATACCCTTAATTTAAAACTCAATAAATAAATAAATAAATAAATAACAAACTTCCCAAAAAATCCGAACCTCTTTTCCCGGTAACCCTTCCAAACAATCCCCTCATAAATTGCAGCCTCTTCACACGTATATAATCCTTCCCTCCCATCAATCACTTCCATTTCACACACCCCCTTACTTCCATTATTCCATTCTCTCTCTCTCTCTCTCTCTTTAATCCTAAAACAACCGAAACGCGTCGTCTTACGTCCTTTCCCCATATCACCCGCTTTTAATTCTGCGCAAAAGCTGGCTTCCAGAATCATCATAGTTTGAACCCCACCTCCTTACTTATTGCTCCGAAATTTGGAATCTTTTTATCCAATAGCTCGGAGCATAAATTAAATAAAATTATTTATAAATTAACAAATTACAATACAATCGATAATGGGTAAAGGAAGTAGAGATTGGTCACAGATCTATGCAATCTACGGCATGGATGAATGGCAAACATTCTTGTTTCTATTCTTCCATGCTTTGATCTTCTCTCTATTATCTGTATTCATCCTTCATTTCTTTGCTCCTTTTACGAGTGTCCTATCCGCTCTTCGGGTGTTCTCTTTGCTGCCGCCGGGATCTGCGAGGTTTGTCGCCGGGTTGATTGGTTCGGTGACGGCTTTGATCGCGGTGTGCCTGCTGTTTGCGGCGGCGAATTTCTTATACTCAGCTGTGCCGCTGCGGTGGGAGATCTCTCAGCGGATGATCTCCGCTGTTACTGATTGGTCTAATGTTAAGACTGCTCTTGATGTTGGTTGCGGCAGAGGTAGGCTCATTCTTATATGTTGCTCTTTTTCTTCTTTTGTATACTTTTGCTAATTGTTATGTTATGGAGTCTTAAATGTATTTAATGTTTTATATAACTGATAATTATTTCATTTTTACTAGTAAATGGTATGGTTTATGGTAACAGTAATCTAGTGGGAGTGCCTTTATTCTTTTATTTTATACAAAAGAAAATACTGGAAATGTTTTTATACAGTAACCTTATTTGAAACTTAGGAAAAAAAAGTATATGGTAACATTGTATTTTGTAAACAGTATACAATGTTAAATTTCAAATAATTCAGAAATTCATTTATTGTTTTCTTATCTTCATTCAATCATTAAATGTAGTACTAGTATATGAATAGTACCATGGCATTAAAGTCAAATATGGCGGATGAAAATAAAAGGTAAAAATGGATGATTTAATCTCTCAATCAATTCCGTAATACTCCATTTTTTTTATTTTTGTTATGTTTTTGAAGGAACTCCATTTATTTTTGTTGGTTTGTGCTTAATTTGAATTTTGATGTTACGTACTAATTAAAAATATCATTTGTTTGCATATTATTTTAATTTTAAGTAGTATTGTACTCCGTAATTAATAATTTTGTCAATAGTAAAATTTAAACTTTAACTATAGAAATGGCGTGATTATGATTTATAAAGGTAAACAGAGTCATTAATACTTGGTAGAAAGTGTTACGCTAGAATCATAATTATAGTCAGAACAAAATTCACGGAAAAAAGTTTAAACTTTTACAGGTATTCTCCTAAACGCGGTCGCTTTACAACTAAAGAAGCAAGGATCATCAGGCATAGTAGTAGGACTAGACCAAAAGCGGTCAATAACGTTACAAACGTTACAGACCGCTAGTCTAGAAGGGGTCCAAGAATACGTCACCTGTCGAGAAGGTGATGTAAGGAGGCTGCCCTTTCGAGACGACTACTTTGACGTGGTCGTTTCGGGGGCAGCGATAAGGCGGGCCGGGGCAAAGGAGGAGCGAGAGAGGGTGGTAGGAGAGATGGTTAGGGTGTTGAAGCCAGGTGGGGTAGGTGTAGTGTGGGACCTACAGCACGTGCCGGAGTACGTGAGGAAATTGCAAGAATTGCGGATGGAAGAGATTCGGGTATCGGAACGCGTCACTGCATACATGGTTAGTAGTCATATAGTGTCGTTTCGGAAGCCTTGTTATCAGCAATTACAGAATATGGTGGGCCCTGTTTATTCTTATGCTGGGGAAGTCAGACTTGACTGGAGATGCCACAATTTGTGCTAATTTTTCCTTTAAGGATTATATTACTTTCTTCCTTCACTTTTAGTTGCATCAGTTTCACTAAATGTGTGCGAGCTTTCTAATTAAATTGTTGCAACTAAAAATGAACGAAAAAGTATTACGGAGTAGTTTTTATATTTTTTTCTTTTAGGATTTTGGGGAGGCGAAGCCAAACCAAGATAATTGAGTGAGAAATTAGGGTGAGGAGAAACGGGGGAGAATATATTATAATGCTCTCAACAAAAAGAGATTGTGAATATTAAAACTCGAAAGTATATATACTATTAGTATTAGTATTAATATTAATATTAATATTAGTCTAGTACTAATTAATTTCCTAATAAAACAAGTCCCACTTGTGTGTAGATGAATTCTCTTGGAACAGATGAAATTTTTACTCGTATGGATTGTAAAGTTTCCTCTATATTCAAGCTCATGTATACTTTTGACATATTACTAACGTTTTGACTTTCACACTTGTAACATATCGTTTGAGCTAATGTATACTTTTGATATAATACCCTTGTTTTACTTTAACATTTACTACATATTTCGTATAACATATGTATGAAGGACTTTTTCGTATCTATTTACTGCAGCACTTTGATTTATGCATTATAACTTATTTAATCTTGACTAGTTTGAGGGGGAAAAAAAACGATCACATAATATAGCTAATGATTAACAAGTGTGAAAATTAGAGTAAAAAAATTATTAAGATGAGATTATAAATTTATAACTTAAATATAAATAAAGTAAATGTTAAAATGTTGTGACTTGTGAGTATTACAATTATGAGGAATTGATGTCAAAAAAAAAAAAAAAAAACAATTATGAGGAATGATGAAGAAGTTTCCCTACTCCGTATATAGAACGTAAATACATGGAGTAGGGATTCCATGAATATATAGAACATAAATATTTATGGTAATCATCCTTTGATACATATTCTTATACAAGTGAATTTGGTGAGCAACTCACTTTGTGTCTTTGAAATCACAAATTTGAGTCACACCTGCTATATTTGTTTAAGAATAGAGGGATTACGTTACCTTCCTCTTTATCTCAAATGTTGATTTGCGTAGTTGGATTAGTTTAACATATAAGAGGTGTTAGTTTGGTAGGATTCTATCTACTGAAAAAAACTCTACAAAATCAACTCTTTGCGAAATTTAATTTAATTTAATTATAATAGTTTTTAGGAAAGATTGCCAAAAATTACTTAACCTTTAGCCCATTATTTTTGAATAATACAACCTTTAGGGGGAGTTAATTTTAAACAAGACAAAATTGGATATCAAATGGATTTCGAGGTTAGGAAAGGGGAGGGGATGAGTTTTTGGTGGTGGGGATAGGGAAGGGGGGTTCTCCTCTCCTTCTCCCACCTCAAAACCAATCGAATATCCGATTTTGTCTTGTTTAAAATTAACACCCCATAAAGGAGCCAAATGTTATATTGTTTTTGGCAATTTTTCCTAATTTTATTAATCTAATTTTTTGTTCAATTTTTTTTGTTATTTGATTTTTCTGTAAATAAGAAAAAAATCATTAAGGTCGTGACATTTTTCATGACAAATACATTTGACAATCAACATAATCGATAATCGATTGTTGATCGTACACAAACAAACAAAAAGTTGGGGGGGGGGGAAGGGTGTGACTGTGTGAGATTGTGAATTTGTGAGAAGATTGAAGTATTTAATGAACAAAACAGTGTCAATATTAAACTAAATTGACACAATAAAACTATTTAAGAAAGATCACCGACAACGACTTCGAACAGATAGTATATAAATATTTATCACTCGAATCTCCGAGTATTATAAATTTGTTAGATAAGTTAATTTTACTCTTAGAACTTGCACAATACATTAATTTATAAGATCAATTATAAAACTTTGCATGATTGGATGCTAACTTCAGAACCTCGTTGCATTTTCCGACCAATGATTCAATGAACAATTGAACATGTATTGTAAAATAAACAAATCAAGCAAAATAGCACATGATGTTGCACCTATAAAAATATAAGTTTTGCTTTAATAATCTTTTCTAAAAATCAATTCTACCTATAACTCACGAAGTATTACTTTTTTTTTATGCCAGTTTAACTAGTTTAATCTTTCACACATCCACATGGTGACATAGGCGATTTGAGCACCATATATAATACATTCGACATGTACAAAAACACTTGTTTCTTTAAAAGTATGTAAGTCTGATCGTATGATAGATGCTTTGAAAAGAATGAAAACAATATACGAAGTATGTAATTTGTTATAGAAAGAGACAAACGTTTATCTTTGTTGATTAGTTTCATTGATCCAATTAGTTAGCAAGTATTTGATTTAATCGGTGAATTTGTATGCTACTCCGTAGCACGTCTATTACAATAACAATTTACATTTGTTATTAGCAGCAATCTTTGTACTTTGAAAAAATATAATACTCCGTAACATCTAATTTAATAAGATAATTTCACGGCTAATAAGGATGATGATAAGTACAAAGCTATTAAGATTAGGACTAATAGCTTTGTATAAGATCAGGACTAGCTAATTGATTTGTTTTCCCACATAAAAATTGAGATACATATATAGTTTATAGTTTAATTAGTACTAAATGGACTAGCTATCAATTTCTCAAGACAATATTTATCACACACGTCTTTTTTGATAATAACTATTGGTGAATACTCATCCCTTTCAATAATTCATCGGTTTTGTTACTTGGATAGCACCTTCATACACTCCTTGGTTTAGAATTCTTTGATTGACAGTTATTAAAATTGACATGATTGACCATGACTTATTGACGGCTTTTATATTGCTTTAATCATAATTACAATTATTTTATTGAATGTATAGATCTCATAGTTTGGTTATGAATTTCAATCAACACTATAAATTACAATGAAATCTATATTGTATGGGATTAATTACACTATTTTTATAATTTTTATGGAAAACAAATACAAGTACTACTCAAATAGTTGACCAATACCATCGGTCAACATTTGGCACAATATATACGTTGGAAGTCTTGGCCTTAATTTGTGGGGAATAGAATAGAAAAACAACTATGGTTGACCCAAAATTTGCAAAATAGACTTTTTCAGGGGATATCTTTGAAAATTGAAACTAGAATTTAGATAAATTGTTTGACAAGGTCGATATTAAGATTATTTGAGAGAATGATCACGTACAATATACAAATTAAAGCATATGTATAGAGTTTGCGTGAATTTTAATTTGAAATATTTCAAGCTTAATATACTATATAACACGTTAATTTTCTACTTCAATGTCACTTTACTTTGAAATTTTGAATCAACCATATTATATAAACAAACCATATCCCTTTTTCTTCAAAATAAAATAAAAACAACAATATCCCTTGATAATATTAATAAAGGGTTAAAAAGAGGCTTGTTTTTAAATAACTTTAATGAATTTTCAAATATTGATGTTGGACTTTAGGGGGGTTTAATGGATGTTAATTAAGACTTTAGAGGCCTTACTATAATGATAGTGAAGGGAGTGGGGTATTGATATTTGATAGTGAAGTCTTTATCCAAATTGTGTTTATTTGAATGTGGAAAATAAAATTAGAAAATTGTTGGTTTCAGCATTTAATGTTTATTGGTCACCATTCTTCTCTTATTACTAGAGTGTCACTGTTGGGCTTAGCAAGAACTGTATGTTATGTCATTCACCGACCATCCAAATCCGTAAATTATGGCACAAATTAATCCTACTTTATTAATGTCATTTTCATTAATAACTTGCCTTAAGTGAGTGTGTTAGACTGTAATTATTAGACTAGTGACATAAATCATCATTTTGTCATTTTAATATTATGTATATACGAAGTCATTCTCAAACAATATACCTCGACGTTTAAAATATCATAAGATTCATTGGTCATGTCAAAATATTATAGTTAGATCACTATTACACAAAATTTTGATTGTCTTTTACAAGAACGAAGTATGATTTATAAATAGTACTTTATGTATCATTGATACAAAAGAGGTAAATAGTTCATGTACATCAATTTCTTCAAAGAAAAGAAATAGAGTCCATCATGGAATTAAGAAAAAATTATTTTTGTAGAATGATCAATGTCTTAATACTCTCTAACTTTGAGAAAACAAAATAATACAATAGCATGTTAATTAGTTCGTGCTAGGTGTAATATTGTAATCAATTTCACTTTTTTAGTCTATTTTGTCATGTATATTCCACTATAAACAAATTTGTTTTGTAACAAACCATCACAATACAATAAAGTAGTATTGTAAAAGATATGAATCATATGAGTGACTTTTACTAAAATTAACAGATTCTTTATAAGTATATACCAAGAATAATCTATGTATAGCAGATTCTCGATGATTTACACTATTACATAGTTTTCAACTTTTCATTTCATTGAAAGAGTTTTTTCTTTATTTTATATTTATTCATACATTATTTTTCTTGAGAATACATACATTATTTACATGCATAAACTTAATGATTATAGATTATTAATACAACTTACACAAACTTAATACTTGATTTATAATGATACAAACTTACAATGTTTACAAATAGCAACGTAACACAATGATTTTCTTTGTTTTTTAAAACACTAAATACAGTGATTATCGGAAACTTGTAGAGTTGTATTCATACATCGATAACCTTTTTAATTTTACCATCTAATCAAACTGATCATTTTGTGTAATATATGGGTTAACATCATACTAATTATATAAAGAAAGTACACAAAGGCATATGAAATAATCATATCATATCAAATATCACTAATAAATAAAGTCAGTTTCATAGCCAGGCCACAAGACAACGACACTTGGCATTTCAATTTTTCGCCAAGTGTCACGCCACGTAGGATATAAATTGGTATTATTGTGGCACATATAATGCTAAGTAGGCGATTTTTGGATAGATTTTTTAAGATAAAATTTTTGCATAGAGTTTTATTATCGATAAAATTCTAATATTTCATATATATAAAATTAACCATAACTTTTAATAAATATCCTATAACTCAATTCTATTTCCATCATCAAATTCGTTTTAAAAAGTTCATTAAATTAAGATCCATTTATAATATATTTAATCACAAACTTTTATACTCTCTCCGTTTCCTATTAATCACAACATTAGGGTGCTCACAAAATTTAAGAAAAATTATAGGGTGGGGCTCAAAAGAGGATTTTTTATAATAATAATAAAGTATTGTTGGTAGAAGAGAGAAATAATAATAAAAAAAGTAGTATACGTGGGGTTGGTAACTAAGAAAGAGAAATAATAAAACATTTTTGAAAGTGGGGGTTATTAGTGGGAGAGAGAAATTATAAAATAATGGTGGGTTCTTTCTAAATATAAAAGTGTTGCAATTAATATAAAACTGATGTAAAAGGAAAGCTAGTGTTGCGATTAATACGAAACGGAGGGAGTACGTAGCTGACCAAACCGTGTCACCAACTATTACAAGATCAGAGTTACTTCGTTAGTGCTATAGGGATTAC